AGAGATGGAAGGTTTGAGTTTCTTCTTGGTGAAGAAACAACATTCAGAGCTTTCTATATTGGGTTCAGTGCACCGAGAAAGGGTTTTCTTAGGGGTTGTAGACCCATTTTGGGATTTGATGGGTGTTTCTTGAAGACTTTGTTAGGAGGGGCTCTATTGTGTGCCACATCAAAAGATGGCAACAATCAAATATACCCAGTTGCTTGGCAGTTGTTGAAACAGAGAATGAGGATTGGAGATGGTTTTTAAGTATTTTGTTCACTGATTTGGGCATTAATGATGGTCTTGGATATACATTCATGTCAGACCAACGAAAGGTATGTTTTCTCTCTAACATGTCTCAATTTCAAAATTTATGAAATTGTAGTTCATATATGCATATCTAATTTTAAGTATTTTTTTATTTAACTTGTGCATATCTAATTTTAAGTATTTCTGAATTTAACTTGTGCATATCTAATTTTAAGTATTTAACTTGTGCATATCTAATTTTAAGTATTTCTGAATTTAACTTGTGCATATCTAATTTTTAGTATTTCTGAATTTAACTTGTGCATATCTAATTTTTTTTTTTTTTTTTTTTACTTTTTGGAAAAAAATGGCAGGGGCAAAAATGTCCAAAGGGGGCGGTACATAGTAATAAGGGGGGCGGTAAATAGTAATGCCCCTAAAACTGTGAAAGCTACTATTTTGAAAGTAGGATACAGAGATACATAGCATAAATAATTCTATATGTGACATAAAAAATGTAGTAGAAATCATTTTAAACAACTTCTATTATATATTAAATTATTTATTCAATTTATCTCTCTTCTCCAACCAATTACAATTTACACATCACAAATGATGACACAATGAACATTAACAATTGGAGACACAATTTTTTAATTTTCCATGTCATACACCTAGTGTTTTAAACCGCGTATAGGGTAATGCGTCGCGTTTTGGTCGTTATACTGCGCAGCGTAAATAGCATGTTGCTTAACCTATTTGGATATAATTTTTTTAAAGATATATTATAAATATAAATACATATAACAAAACTGGATGGTTGATTCAAAAAATTATCATACTATTTGAATGAATTCAAAAATAAAATCTAAGAATTATTTATCACAAATGTTTAATGTAACTATCATAATATGAATATTTAAATAATAAATCGAATATACTAAAAAGTAAAAACAAACAACGAAAATATAATATGGTAAATCATAGTTTAATTTTAAGTATATACATTTAAATTATTATTTTTAATTGAACTACAACTTAATTCTAACTACTAGATATCATAAGTGGACAAGCTTTTCGTAGGGGAAGGTCGCCCCAATTATTTGGTTGTGCAGTTTAATACTTGTTCACCTCGACAACGGTTCATCTAAATTAATCGTGATTAGTAATATTATGTAACTGCCTTTAGCTCCCCTGCTTTCATTACCATCACGTTCTTGGCATCTTTAAAAATTTGCCCTATTTTTAGGTCCACCTGAGGACTTAGCCAATTAAGCAGAATTTTGGATACCTGGACCCAAAGATTGAGCTCCTTGAAGCACGAGTGTTTTTATCTGATATTCCCTCCTCCCAATCATGTAGAGTTAGATACTGGTTTTAAAAAATCTAGTTCACTCCCAACGCTACCTTCTGTTTGTCTTCTTTGTTTCCAAAATAAATTGGAAAAAATTCACCCCCAGTTCTCTAATTTCAAGAGGTTCTGCTATCTGCCAAATGATACCCAATGTTCTTTTAAGCCCAAATAAGCTCGCCCTCCTTTCGCCAACTATTTTTGGGACATTTTCATCTATCCTACAAGATTTTAAAAATATTGCAAAAACACAATTCATAAACAAATAATTACATCTCTACTGAATATGTAATACATAACTACATTAATGCCTAAAGTAAGTTACCATATCCATTCAACTTCCATCCCCCTTTTTGTGGGCTTGATTAAGAGAGAGAAATGAAAAATAATAACTGACTCATTTAATTCCTTAATTCACGCAGTTTGTACATTTGTAATTCACGCAGCCGTCAGGTGGTATATTTTGCGTTTATATTGGTATATATTCAGTATATGTTACAATGAAGAACATGTCGTCCATCAAAAAATTATGTCTTCTTTATTTTTTTTTTTTTATTTTTTTTACTTTTAGACATAAAAGTATATATAAACATATTATAGCAGTTACTTATATTCCATATACAAACAAATATACTGCAAATATACTGTACGTATATACCCGTCGAACGTCTTCCTGTTAATGTCATGAGAAAATATACCGAGAATATACTGATAATATACCGTCGAACGTCTTCCTGTTAATGCCATGAGAAAATATACCGAAAAGATATTGATAATATACCGAAAATTTTTAACTTTTACATACTATCGAACGTCTTCCTATTAATGTCATGAGAAAAAATACTGAAAATATACCGAGTATAAACCATACATATACAAAAAAAAAATCATCAGTTTATGCTTTGTCAATATAAACCATACATACAAATAAGGTAGCCCTTATATTATACAGAACATATACCCTATATATACATAACATATACCCGATTAATTCAATCTTCTTCCTTCTCATCCCAAACACGCCTCTCATCTCAAATCTTCTTCCTTCTCCAAAGATTCTCGTTCCTTCGCAGCTTTCTTCTTCGCGTGCGTCCTTCTCCATCAATCGTCTTCATCCTTCTCCACTGACGCGTGACTCTTCCCAGCGGGTGGCAAATCCCGTCCCTCATCTTCCTCCATCGACGAGATAGCAGCAGTCGACCGTGTAGCAGGTTCCGTCCGTCATCGCACCTGAGGTCACGTCACCCTCCGTCGAGGAATTATCAATCCACGCCGGGAGTCGAGAAGGAGCCGTGGCGAGCAGCGAGTTCCGTCGATCCTCCTCAGCCGCTCGACTTTGTCCAGCGAGTAGCAATCCTGTCCGATCCGACCTTCGCCGTACCGGCGACAAGAAGCAGCAAATAGCAGCTCGGACCAATGAAAGATCCGGCTCCTCCTCCTCCGAACAGATCTGAAAGGGAAGAGGTGGTTTGGGAGGGATCGTGCTTTTGTGAAAAATCTTATTTTGTTTAGGATTAATTTGTAGCTGATTTGTTGCAAAAATTAAGAAGAAAAGATCTTAATTAAAAACATTCCATGTTTGATATGTTGACTTTGGAAAATTAAACATTAGGTATATGTGTAATTATTTTGTATTGAAGTTGCATTTAAATAAAAAAAATCTAATGAGTGTTAAATATGCAATATAATTATTATATGAACGTGCAGGGTGTAAATTCCTCAACTATTTTCCCCAAAAGACTTTGTTCGTATTCTTCAATGTTGGAGCGAACATCTTCGTCTATTATCTCAATTACCTTCTCCTCTGACTTCGATAACGCAATATTTTTCAACCTAAGCCCCAATTCCTCCTCAATTCCACTTGGTTTTCGCTGCTCCATTAGAAAAGCCCTACGACAAGAAATCCCCTAAATTAACCGAACTCTAGGAAAAGCCTTTGAACGCTCATGAGAAAAACAACCGAGATAAACACTGAAATCAACTAAGACAAAACACACAATCTCCACCCAGAGGAATACGACTCTCAGAGAAAGAATTTGCACTCTGAGAGAGAGAATCACAATCTATTAATTTCTCTTGGATTCTATTCAATTCTAAGAAAATCAAACATTCATTATTTTGTAATTTAATTTTCCAAATATTTTGATAAGTTTCGAGATCAACTACCACTGTCTCCTAGAACTGTAAACAAGATGAGTCGGGCTTGGCTCGTTAGATAAACGAGCTCGATTTCGGCTCGTTTATCAATATTAACAAACTGATTTTGAACCATAGAAAGGATCTCGAGCTTACCTTGTTGAATTATAGAATTTTTTTTAAAAATTCTATATTAGAGCCTTAAGCCAAATCGAACTCAAATTGAGCCGAGCCCATGAACGACTCTTTTGTTTACTGAGTTCTATGTCTCCGTGTTAAGACCTTACACTAGTTTTTAATTTTTATAAGCCATTGCACGCGCCCACCAATTGATGCCCACGGCGAGTTAACTCAGTCCCACCACCTCGCTTGACTTTCCCTATCTTCCCCATCTGTTTCATCTTATCTTTACCGGATTATTTCATCTTCATTATTTCATCTTATCTTTTACTCCCCTCCAAAACTAGAGGGATTTGGAGGAGAAATATAATAAGATGATGTGAAAATACCATTTAGTCCATACTTTCAATTGTTTTAATTTTTTTTATCTTATTTCATTGAGGGTAGATTTATCATTTTAATTTTATTTTACCTTTTTTTAATTTTTTAACCAAACAAGTTTTATCATTTATCCTCCCCTCCCATCCTAAATAATCCTCCAAACAAAATAAAATTATTTTAGGTCACCTAAATCCCTCTCCTCCCTTCCCCCTCCGTTCAACCAAACATAACCTTAATTTTCTTCGTTGTTTTTTTTCTTTTTTTCTTTTCGCTCCACATTTTTGTCTTCACTCCTTTGCTCCGGAGTGTGGTGCTCCTCCGATCGCCGGCGGCCTATCCATTCACCGTAGAGCTTCAGTGTTCCTTATCCATCANATAATTTTATGAGATCTTGTCTTTGTTTGGATTCATGCGATTTCTCTGTTTTTGACCTTTTTCTATTATTTTCAATAAAATTTAGCTTATTATTGAAAAAAGAAAAACAAACATGAGTAATCTATTGCTCCCGGCTCGCCTCTTGAATTAAATCGGGCCTGTGAAAAACAAATTAGCAACAATTCAGCTGAATTCAAGGACTCTATCGAGTCGCATTGTAATTATTCTATTTCAAGACGCAGGGAAACGATTCCACCGAGCTCTAGTATTCTGCGAAAATGGATCTGAACGATGTAAGTTTTTACCTTTTCAATGAAATTCTCGGCTTCGATTGGGTGCAAGTGTGGCATTTACTTATTCATCATCTTCTCCGATTGCGATTATGAAGCATTGTTTTCATGATTCTACATTTCTAATGGAGTTTTGCAGCCGATAGATCTTTCTATTGAATTCACGTTTCTATGATAGAAGATATTGTTTGAAGATCCGATATGGTATTATGCCCTGGGGTTCACTCTCTTTCTTA